ATCCGACTCAGAATAGCAACCGAGACTGCTGGAGCACTTTCATATTTACACTCTGCGGCCTCTGTCCCGATCATCCATCGAGATATCAAGCCAACAAATATACTTCTAGATGATAACTATATAGCAAAAGTATCTGATTTTGGAGCATCCAAGCTAATTCCTACGGATCAGATTGAGTTGGCTACAATAGTCCAAGGAACACTAGGCTACTTAGACCCAGAATACTTGCAGACGAACCAGCTGACAGATAAGAGCGATGTTTATAGTTTTGGGGTCGTACTAGTAGAACTTCTAAGCGGAAAGAAGGCTCTTAGCTTTGATAGGCCAGAGAAAGAAAGAAACCTTGCCATGTATTTCTTGTCTTCTTTGAAAGAAGGGACACTCTTCCATGTTCTTGATGAACACTTGCTGCTAAATGAAGGTATTCCAAACGAGATCATCAATGTTTCAAGACTTGCAGAAAGATGCTTGCGTGTGAATGGAGATGAAAGGCCTACCATGAAGGAAGTGGCAATGGAGCTGGAAGGAATATTGGCATCGATGATACAGAGGCATCCATGGGTGCAAACTACTTCAAAGGAAGAAGAATCTGAGTATTTGCTTAAACAAGCAATGGATGGCTCTGAATATACGAATGCGACCAACACCAGCTCAATGACCTTCGATAGCATCACCAAGCAGACTATATTACCCATGTCTAGTGGTAGATAAATTAAGAAAAGACTTGTATCTATATCATTAATAAGACTTACCAATTACCCATTTAGGGAACGCATGCAATTGATAAGTGAAAAGTAAAAAACTTAATGTCTTGGATGGACTTTATTTTGATTGGTTTATAAATGTCGAGTCTTTTGACGGTAGATTCTCAAAATTGCTCAAAAAAACATTCAAACTTTAAACTGGGTCGCATAGAGCCGTTTAATTATTCTTCAGAGTGGATCGGACCATTAGACCGTTCAAGTTGTCAAAATAGTTGGTTTTAGTTCGACCAGGTTGAACGGTTTTTTTGAACATCCGTCCATAACAATAAATTAAAAATTAACGCAACATTAGATTCAACGTAATGTTAAATAAGGTGGAAATAGAAATGGTAAAGGGAATAGTCAGATAAGCGAAGTAAGTTGAAAGCATAAATTACACAAATAACCATTTCAGATACAAGTTTTCATTTTTTAGCTAATTTATAAAATGGTTTATAGCCATAATTTACACACGGACTTTACACGGAAGAAATTTTTATACATAAAATTTTGTCTTTTATACACCGTAACGATCCAATTGTAAGAGTAGAGCTCCACCAACTCGGCTATATCTCCTCGAGTCAATTAAAACATGCATGAAGGAGTCAATATGAACACGGGTTATTTATTTGTGGTGGAAAATAATTAGTATGGAAAAAAAAATGTAAAATTGACTTGAAAAGGTCAAAAGTCAAAAGTCATGGAGGGATTGGGATGTGTTTGGGTTCTCTGAAAACAAATGAAAGGGAAGTTAACAGCAAAGTTTCAAAATTGTATGTACATAATTAGTATCTATGCATATAATAGATTATCTATACTACTTTATAAATCAGATTTATCAAAAGTCTTAAAAATAGTTTTTAATGCACAAAGTACTATACATTTATGAACAAAGTTTTAAAAGTTTTAAAAATAACTCATAATACATTTAGTACTACTACTTTAGGCATTCAGTCTTAAAATCTCTTAATCTACAGTTAAAATAACATATAATACAAGTTACCAATACACATTATTACTTTTTCTTTTCATGTTCCCAAGATACTTTTGGCACATTTCACTCATGTCTTCACTCTCTCATACCTTTATGTCTTCTCCCCATCTCCCAAGGTGAGATTCAAACTGATATTCATCATGCGTTATTAAATGTTCTCTCATTTATCTGTCATTCAATTACTCTAGAACTCTCGGTCTCTTTATTATTTGCTCCTGGTGTAAATCGAACACATTTGCGGAGTCGTTTAAATATGTTAGATTTTAAATATATAGGACCTTTAAACCGTCATACAATTTTTTTCATCGATAGGCTGTAATTGCATTGGAACCGTTACTCTTATTTATTCAAATTGTATTAATATGTAAAGACCAAATGTAACTTATATCATCGTTAAATCTTCACTGATAAAACCAGTAGAACTTCAAAATCGTTAAAATTCACGGCTCCCGCTAATTAATTTATAAATGAATTATAAAAACATGTGGGTGTAGTGTATAGAGATTGCTTTCTGGATAGACGTTTAATATAATTCATTAAATGACAAGGTGGTAGTAATAGACTTTCTAATTTAGAATTTTCAGTAAATGATAAGGTCAATACTTTTGTTTTTTTATTAAATATTTAAAATTCATTAGTTTTTTTAGTGAATAAAAATAAGGCCAGCAGGAAGATGTTTGGAACGACCAACTAAGTCTTGATGGCAATTGGTTAATGTCCATATTATATATAATACCCAAACTCACAAACTTGACATAAACAATATAATTAAGCAACCATGCATTTACAGATACTACTAGCAGCAGCAGCAGCTGCTATGGCGTTTTTGGGTTCAGCAACTGCTCAAGATTCATGTGAAACATCATGTGGCAATGTGACATATGCTTTCCCCTTTGGTTCAGAGGAAGGATGCTATCTCGATCCTGGTTTCCAGGTAACTTGTGACCGATCATCTGGGGAACCCATACCTTTCTTTGGAAATAGCACAACCAATATTGTTATTACAAATATGTCCACCTCCGAGAGTGAGATGGAGATTATGATGTATGTAGCCCATGATTGCTACAATACCTCTGGTCCAGTCGACAATACTGTACCATCTTTGAGTTTGACGTATTTTCGGATCTCTACCAAGAACAGGTTCGTTGCCATTGGGTGTGACACATATGCGTATATTAGTGGAGACAGAGGGGGAGAGTACCAAGATGGCACTGGATGCACTTCTATTTGTGGTAGTAACACGAGCAGTATCACGGATGAATCTTGCTCGGGAGTTGGGTGTTGTCAAGTAGCAATCCCACAAGGAATGAGCTCTTTCGAAATCACATTAAGTAGCTACAGAAACCATACAGATCTGTTGGAGCTCAACCCTTGTAGCTATGGCTTTGTCGTTGCACCAGGGAAGTTCAACTTTTCTACCAATAATCTGCATCGTTTTGGAAGCAAGATGCCCATGTTACTTGAATGGGCTATCGGGAACGAGACTTGTGATCAGATAGCAAGCAAGGACGACGTTGACAAATTATTATGCAAAGAAAACAGTGAATGTGATAAGGATTATGGTGGTCCTGGATATCGCTGCCGTTGCAAACCTGGTTATGACGGCAACCCTTATATTCAACATAGCTGCAAGAGTAAGTGCTGATTCCATATATATTTTAATTGCTTCACCCCAAGTTTGCCTCTAATGAAATGCTTCACGATTTACTACAGATATTAATGAGTGTGAACGCAAAGATCCTAGCGTTTGCCAACATGAATGCGTTGATCTCGACGGAGACTATGAGTGTCGTTGTCCTAAAGGTTACTCTGGAGGTGACAAGAAAGATGGAAGAGGTTGTATTGCAGATGAATCGCTCGTTCTACATATTGTTGTCGGTAAGAAATTATACAAGCCCCCCTCTTTTTTCAGCTTATATATGCGGAGCTACTCCGACAAATATATGAGAATTCCCCATAGGCTAGATTTTGAACATTTCTAATCAATATATATTGGAACATCACTTCTCTTGTCAATAGATTTTTTTGGACGGTAAACTAATGGGGTTTCACATATTTTCACATGAAAGTCTACCGCTTGAGGGGCGTGTTAATCAGAGTCTCCCATCAGCTAGACTTTAACCATTTATATCCAATATATGTTGGAACCTCCTTTCTCTCCTCAGAGACCATTATGGAGAATAATCTTTAAGAGTTGCACATATCTTCACATATTTGCAAATCCTCATGTTGTATATAAGCTAATTCTTCTCGTTGCAGGTACATTAGCTGCTGCTATATTTCTGCTTGTATTCATCGCCTGGTTGTACTTGGGACTCAAGAAGCGTAAACTTCTTATGCTTAAGGAAAAATTCTTCAGACAAAATGGTGGGATAATGTTGCAGCAAAAGTCTTCACCATAGAGGAGCTTAAGAGGGCAACCAACAACTATGATGAGACCAGGATTATCGGAAAGGGTGGCTTTGGCACAGTTTATAAAGGTGTTCTATCGGATAAAAGAACCGTTGCCATCAAGAAATCCAAACTAGTAGATCAAACCAAATCTCAGATAGAGCAATTTATCAATGAAGTGGTTATCCTTTCCCAAATCAATCATAGAAACGTGGTGAAGTTGATTGGATGTTGCTTAGAAACTGAAGTCCCCTTGTTGGTTTACGAATTCATTTCAAATGGCACCCTCTCTGATCACATACACGATGAAAGCAGGTTGTTGGCTCTTACTTGGGACATCCGACTCAGAATAGCAACCGAGACTGCTGGAGCACTTTCATATTTACACTCTGCGGCCTCTGTCCCGATCATCCATCGAGATATCAAGCCAAC